AAAAGGTCCGGAAAGAAAGAGAAGAACCATATTATGAATTTGTTTCTTCAAATACTTTTTGATAAATTAATATAAGAGAAAAAGACAACCAGTAAAGCAATTTGGATCCCATCAATATGCTAAGTAGTTAAATGATGCGACATACAAAAAAGGGCCAAGCAATTTGGCCCTTTTTTAGTGCATCCTCATCAAACTTTCTTCCAAATAAATTGGATAGAGACCTGTTTGTTGTTTTCCTTTTTTTTTTAAGGTATTGGTTCCATGTTGTAGATGGGACCCGTACATGGGCCCAGTTTTGATTTCACCCTCTATACACATGTCTTAGTTTTCATTTCACCCAATTTTTTAAAATTATTATTGTTATGCTTTAAATCACCATCTAATTTAGTAGTTAAAAAATTCATTTAATTAATAAACTTATAATAATTTTAATTAAAAAATTATTAAATAAGTAATTAAGTAGTTAATTAATTGATGTTATTAATTTATATAATATTATAATAAATTAGAGTTAGGGACTATAAAAAATTCTATTACTACTAACCTTATTATTATTATTGTAACATAAAAATCTTAAAAATAATTGCTAAAAATTTTACAATTTTAAAATCATTTTTTTTCAAATTGTATTGATATAAATAACTACAATTATTTTAGATTTTGATAAATATTTCAAATAAATTAATAAAATTATTATAGTTTAAAATTGCATTTAATTTCTATGATGACAAAGACATGATATTGGAAGAAACCAATCAAACTCCATGTGAATTTTGGTGAATATATGCTTGATTGGTAATCATTTTTATGATACTAATAGATTGATTATATATATATATATATATATATATATATATTTTGTATCACCATATCATAGTAGAGTCCAATAAACTTATAATAATTTTAAATAATTGAATAGGAATCTCGTATGGCCAGCTAAACATGACCAAATATTAATGTTTGGGTTGACTTAGACCAGCTCGGCTCAAATGATGATGCCATAGGGCTCTTGTTAGAGATTTCTACAGGTCATGTTTGATACTAGTTTACATCAACCCTAACCCGACCTGACCCGATTAAAAAACAACTATTTTTTTTTCAAACGACCTAACTCTATAGGGTTAACCCAACTTATAGCCTTTCAATTGTTTTTTTTATAATATGTTTTTAAAGTCCAGTAGTCATTAATTTAAGTTGAGATTTGGTTTATGTATTTCAAGATGTCATTTAAAAGAAGAAAAATAAGATACATGAAAATAAAGCTTAAATTTTAAGGTCATGGTGTTAGAAAGCATGCAAAATTGTATGAATATGTGGGGGCATCATGACCCATCAGGTTTGGGCAGTTGAATCCAAACCCCTCCTGAACCTAGCTTGGTTAGAATAGTTGAAACCCTAAACCCCATCTCCTGCTTCAATTTTCACTCAATAAAATTGGACCTTCTAGGGTTGGATTTACCATATAACCCAATCCATTGATATCCCTAACTCCTATTTTCAATTTTCATTCAACAAAGTCAAGGTTCTAAGTATCAGTATCGTGTATCATATCGATAAGCTTAAATATAGATATGTATCATGATATGCTTTGGATATGCATATATACAATGGAAAGAAATTGATACACTTAAATATATTGGGGAAACTCTTTAAAAATCCCATACATACATCAATAATAATAAATCTAAACTTGTATATGTTTTTTTATTTTGCATTTCAAGGATAAATGTTTTTTCAAATCAGTTTGGCAGGTACGGGACCTTTGTTTTTGGAATTTACAACTACTAAAGAAAAACAATTCATATTATTGGGTAAAACCCCCTTAATGGTTTAATGGTTTATAGTAACAATAAACAACACTTATAGCAATCGATTTGTTTTCAAATTTTCAGGATTTGTCATCATAATTTAAAATTTAGCTTTTGACATTAAGAAGCTAATTCTCATTAATAGTAACACATAGGAAGCAATGAAAGCTTAACATTTGATCTAACCACATTAGACTAACTAAAAAGTTATGGCAATAACAAAATAATAATAAAGTTTTATAAAGTTGTTAGCTTATTTAGGTTGTTTTTGGTAATGGCCTCTCAAAAATGCATTTTTAAGGTATGCATATTTCAATCATAAATAGACTCAAATAATAATTTTTTTTTCCAATTTATATTGATAAACCCAAAATTTTTGCAATAATATCAAACACAACATTATATGCTTTGAAATTTACAATATAGGTAGAATGTAAAAAATAAAACAAATATTAGCATGAGATCATTTGGTGTTTAAGGGTTTTTTTAATCTTAGATTGGGATAGGGTTAAAAACAACAAGACCCAAGAGGGAGAGTTGTAATAAGTATCATTGGAGAAAGGAGGGCTACTAATGGAGTGCCTTTTGGGATAGGGAGAGTTATTTTGGGTGGCTATTTTTAATCCACCTAGCGGTTAGGCTATGAAGGGTGGATAACCTACTTTGATACCACTTGTCAATCCAATCCAATATATGTTTTGGACCAATTTAATCAGTCCAATTCAATGTGAACTGTCCAATCTGTTCAAATTCATTTTGATTTAGATTAGTTTCAACCCAAATCTGGTCCATTGACACATATATTCTTATCTTATATCAAATGGACTAGATGCTTAATCCAACCCAATCCAATATAAATTTGTTACGAACGGACCAGATCCAAGCCAATCTAATAAATATTTTGGATCAGATTGATCCAATCCAATGTCTTCTTGTTCCGTCCAATCCGTCCAAATTGATTTTGGACTAGATGGGGTAAATCCAAAATCAGTCCATTGACACCCTTGAGTGTGTGAGAAAATGTAATTGTTGTATTGCAAGATAAATAATGAAATATAACAATAAGCACAAATTAAATGCACACAAGAACACCAATGAAATATAACAAATTTCTACACTACATTCACACTTTTATAACTACTATATAGGATAAAAAGACTTAAACCTCCCTTGGTATTTACTGTAAATACAGAAACTTCCCTTCACTTTTAAAATTGGACTAAAACCTCACCTCCATTAGTAATGTGTTAAGATCCGTATAAATCGTGGCATTAAATTTTCCTAAAACCCGACTTTGCCCCTTTATAATCGTTTGGCAATGACAAATTACCATATCCAGAAAACAAATATCTGAACAGATAATAGGGAGAATTTTTTCTTTATCTATTTAACCTTGGTTAACACACCAGACTTGCAAGGTTACCTAACTGCTACTGGAACACACACTAAAACCCCATTCAATATATCACAAAAACCTAAATGAGTAATTCCATACACCAATCTCAAGTCTCCACCTTGGAAAATCAGGAAATACTAGAAACTGAGCAATGAACGACACAAAGAAGTGTAACTAAAACCCCTTCACGACCTTTAAACTTTAAGGATAAACCAAATCATTATTGTTGTTGTTGATTCTGTTGTTGCTGAGGATTTAGTGGTGGTGGCATACCAAGGCAAGGTACCACCAAAGACAGGAATGCCACCTGATGGAGGAGGTATCCCGGGATGAGGCGGCAGTGGTGGTGTGGGCATGCATGTGGAGGCATCCCATTATTTTGAAAATTTGAAGATGTAACAAGGGTAAAAGAGACTTTTTAATAATTTCATTAGACATAAATTTGATAGGGGAGGACTTGGTCCAATTTAAAAAAAAGAGGGGAAATTTTAATATTTACAAGAAACACTAGGGGAGGTTTAAGTCTTTAACTATTATCAAATGGCTCTTTAATAATTAAACTAATGGTCTAATGAGTTAGAACCAACATTCATGGGTTTAGGATCAACATTATTTATAATTGGATTAGAATAAATGACCCAATTACTATCTAGTGTTCTATATGGGTTAGAACAAATGAGATTCGTTTTAAATTCCTATCTACATTTAACAATAATAGGATTAGATCGGTCTATAAGAATGAACTTTGGTGAGTATATACTTCTATTATACCCCTTTTTACTTTAACAAAAGCTTAACCTAAGCTCCACCCAAACTACGGTGTGAGGTCCCAAATATGCCACCTGCTCACCTATTCAATATTTTAAGAATAAGGACCTACCACTTAAAAATTATTTGAATTTTAAACCCATTTCCTTGAAGTGTAAAAGAATGTTTTATCCACAATTAAATTAAATCTGGTTTTGGTCCAAGTGACCTAGTGCTTGCAACTCATGCAATGGTTAGCCTTCATGCTTGAAACATGGACCCGGTGGCTATAGTGTTTGGACTCATCCATTGTTTAGTTAATAATTCTGTTAGTCAGATTTAAAATGGATGGTGTATGAATAAATAAATTAAGCTAAAAATGTTTAAAATATTATATACTATTTATAAAATAACTAGAAATTACTTGATATCATATATAAATCACTTAAAATAATGTTTATGAGACTTGAATCTATGATTCTTGAACAGGGGTGCAAGTCGGGTAGGCTGGGCCTTTAAGTTCAATCAAGCCCAATTTTAAGAATTGGGGCCTAAGGCCTAAGCCCAAGGTCAAGCTTAAATTGTCCAACCCAAGTCCAACTTGCACTAAAATTTGATGCCCTCAGGTAGGGTTTTGGGCCTTTGGGCCTTAGTCAAATTCGAATTGGTCAAACAGTTCATACTAATAATTGATATAAATGAATGTGTGTATATATGCATGCATTCATGCAAGATATGAGTCTCTAAATGCGTATTTGTATGTATAGTATAGTTAGGTTGGGCTTGGGCCAGATTTGGGCTATCTAAATCAAACTTTTGAACCCCAACACAATGTAAGGATCCAAGATCTAAGCTCAGCTCAGCCCGCATAAAATAAAAAATTGGATCGGGTTGGATCCGCCCAAGTTGCACACCGGGGGTGGATCCATAATTGACCCAACTGGAAACTGAGTCCGACGCGTTGTACAGATCTTTCTACGAGGCAGGAGCCTGAGGCCCAGACGGAGGACTGGGCTATTCTTCAGTATTCACGTAATGACGCAAGTACTGTAGTAGTATGTATGATAGTATCACACTCGCTAGCATGACAGCATCGAATGGCCTCCAGTATTTTATCCGTTGGTGGATTCTCCTCCATGGTTCTACTTCTACCAATGGCTTCCCTTCAGCTTCCCGCCATCTCCATCTCCCCTCTTCCCGCTAATAATCAAGCCCTTCTCATCTCTCCCTTCACCGGACAACTCGCTTCATATCGCCGCTCCGACCTGTATCTTTTCTCGACGGTAACTTCTCGCCGCAAATTCCTGAAAGTTCCAGGAATTAGAGCGGAGTCTTCGGTGAAGAGAGAACCCATGGTCCCTCCTTACAATGTCTTGATCACTGGTTCGACTAAAGGTCAGTGCATGGAGCTAATCTCATTTACTACTGTTTTTGAATGCTGGTAATTTGTTCTTAATTTGATTTCCTGGTTTGATTTCTAATTCCATAACACTTTATGTTCCTTGAGTTCTGAATCATGTTCAATCAACATAGTTTTGAATTGGGGTCATGTTGGTTCTGTTGGGGAAATGGCGCATAGAAATTTGGTGGGCAGTGAAGTAGGTGTAGTCATTGGAATATAGGATGGTTTTCTTTATCCGTTCCGTATATTTTGAACCTGTAGGCCCTCTAAGCGGAAGCCGGTCATGACCCATGTATTATGAAGAGTCGGACATAGAAGTGTCTAGTAAAACAGTTTGTTATGGAGCTAACTTAGCTTTAGAGACATAATTTGATCTTTCATTTAAATGACTCAATCTGATCATAATGCTATTGCCACTGCAAACCAATCATTAAGGCACCTTCGCCCATAGTGGGAACTCTGTTTGAGCAACTGTGATGCCAGGATCCCCTGTTGTGGATAGAATCCACCTTTGCTTCTGTATTGACATGATACTGGTTTGAGGGGTTTGCATAGTGCAGTTGATCCCAAATGCAATAAAGCTACATTGCCTACTAAAAAAAAAAAAGAAATTGAAGACAATGCGGGATAGGTAGAAATTTACTGTAATTACAGGACCCAAGGGATTGGGAATTTATAGTGAAAAAAATCTCTTTTTGATAGGATGAAGTGTTTAGGGTTAGGTGTTGCAAACAGGGCTATCTCAAGTCTCCTAACTAATTTGATTTTATGCTAGGAAGATCAACCATGGAAGTTATCTTCCTTTTTCTTGAGGCAATTGATAGAAAAGTTTAGGGAGGAAAAGAGAGATTTTCATAGAGTATAGTATTCTATAGCGGGTGTTGACCTCGGAAAAACACTTCTGTTTGGAGAAGATTTTATCCCTGAGCCTGCAAACTCTTTGGAGCTGTCGAAGAGCTTGGGAATGGGGGGTGGTACCTCGAGGGAGGTGAATGTCTTGGCCAAATTCAGAGAAGAACCTGTTCAGCACCTAGATCAAGGTCAAGGTGTCAACAGTTCGAGTATGTTCTCTCCCAAGTCAAATGACAAAGAAATAGGCAATCCCTGCTCCCCTGTTAGTGCAACACAGGTTGATCCTGAGGAGATTTCTCCCAGCAAACTCCCTCAGAACCTAGGCAGAACTGGTGACATATCAGGTTTTGATGTTTATAGTTTTTGTCTTGATTCTTGTATTCCTCAAGTTTTTGATACTAATCTGCCCCCTTCCCCAGTTGTTGTTTTATCTCAGCCCGTAGGTGAAGCTGACACTCATCCAAAAGTTGCCTACCCTAGCGACTCTCTTCTAAAAGTTGACTGTCCTAGTGATTCACTTAAGGTAACAGAGTTGTTAGAGGATGTAGAGGCTCTGAATGACACTGTGGATGAATGGGAAAGGATTTGGGGATTAATCTTGCAGACCTTTAGACTCTTGGTAGAGGAGGAGATAGGGGAGAATTTTGAATAGGAACAAGAAGGTGACATTCCTGTTCCTAGTTCCCAGGTAAGGGGAAGGGAGCTAGAAAGGGTAAAAATGGGCAAAAAAACAACAAAGAGAAGAAATGGGAAGAAAAGTCAAAAAAAAAAGAAAAGAAAAGAGAGGAAGAACAAGATAAATCAAAGAAAAAGCTTGAAGGAGGGACACCTAAAAGGAGGAAGAAGAAATTGAGTGAAGTTGAGAGATTGAGGTGTGAAGTAGACTATGACAAGGGGTGTTATGGGAGAAAAGGAAGGTAGTCGGGTTAGCAAAAGGTGGTCTCTAGGGTTGCTCATAAGTTAGGTTTATGAGCTTTTAACAAATGTTTATGGGCCAAATTCGTACAGAGAAAGGGAGGAGTTTTGGGAGGAATTAGTAGCTATAAGGGGACTGTGGGAGGGTCCGTGGTGCTTGGGAGGGGATTTTAATGTCATCAGGTTTATAACGGAAACAAATAACCCTAACCATAGGATCACCTCAAGTATGAGAAAGTTCAACCACTTTGTGGATTCTTTTGAATCAAGGGAGCTACTGTTGGTGCAAGCTGATTTTACCTGGTTTAATTTTCAGGAAAAACCACTTTGTTGCAAACTAGACAGATTTTTATTCTCTTCAAATTGGGAGGAAGTATGGGGTGGTTTGGTGATGAGGGCACTACCTAGACCTACGTCGGATCATTGTCCAGTTAGGCTATCTCAAGAAAGACTAGGAGGTGGGCCTTGCCCCTTCAGATTTGAAAATATGTGGCTGTGACATCCAGACTTTCAAAAGAAAGTGAAAGAGTGGTGGAAAGAGGATCAGGTGGAGTTTAGATGGAAGGGATATAGATTTTATAAGAAGCTACAAAAGCTAAAAGCTAGGATCAAAGCTTAGAACAAAGAAGAGTTTGGTAGAAGAAGACAGAAAGGAGGCTATTAGTAAAAGGATTCAAAAACTTGATGTTGTTGAGGCAGAGAGAGGATTGAGGTGTGAAGAAAGGGAAGAGAGATGGAAGTTGAAACAAGATTTGGAGGAAATTCTCTGAAAAGAAGAGATAAGCTGGAGACAAAAATTAAGATGCAAGTGGTTGAAGGAAGGAGATGGTAATACAAGATTTTTCCATAGCTTGGCAAGTGGAAGAAAGAGGAAGAACATAGTGGAAAGTTTGGAATGGAATGGGGCAATGCTGACAAGAGAGGAAGAGATTGCAAAAGCTTTTGTGGTTTTAAATCCATTTATGACAGTCCCAGTAGAGTAAGAGAGACTCTAACTGACTTTGAGTGGCATGTTGGAGAAAATGAATTGTTGGAACCCCTGGAAAGACCATTTGAGGTTCAAGAAATAAAGAAGGCAGTTTTCTCTATGGAAAGATCAAAAGCCTCGGGTCTGGATGGATTCACTATGGCTTTTTATCAAGACTGTTGGGACATCTTAGGTGATGACCTAGTAGAGGTCTTCTTGGAATTCTTTGAAAGAGGAAAAATAAATGCGGGTGCAAATGCTACTTTCATAGCTTTGATCCCTACGAGGGTGCCTACAGTTCAGCCCAAGGACTTTAGACCGATCAGTTTGACTGGGAGTCTATATAAAATCATTTCTAAAGTTCTTGCACTAAGGCTCAAGAAAGTCCTTCATTCCTTAATCTCATCGAATCAAGGGGCCTTTGTGAAAGGGAGACAAATTATTGATCAGATTTTAATAGCCAATGAATGTGTGGATTACAAAAAAAGAAAAGGAGAAAAGGGTATGATCTGTAAACTTGACTTAGAAAAGGCTTATGATTTGGTGGATTGGGATTTCTTGCTAAAAGTGTTGAAGAATAGAGGCTTTGGGGAGAGATGGTGTAAGTGGATGAAGGGTTGTATTATCTCTTGTCACTTCTCAATCTTAGTGAATGGAGTAGCTAGGGACTTCTTTCCTGCAAAGAGGGGCCTTAGACAAGGAGACCCTTTGTCACCTTTCCTCTTCACCTTAGTAGTGGATGTCCTAAGTGTTTTGATTTTTAGGGCTGATTCAAGAAATCTACTGAAAGGTTGGAGTTTTGGGAGGCAACAAGTGATTGTCACTCACCTACAATTTGCGGGTGATATCATTCTCTTTTGTGAAGGGGAAATTGAGGAGATGGATAATTTGAGATTGGTGGTGATGCATTTTGAGAGTCTCCAATCTGAAAATCAATTGGAACAAGAGTTGTGTAGTGGGGGTGAATTTACAGGATGATGAAATGCAGTTGGTGGCTAGGGCTTTAGGTTGTGAGGTAAGTGGTTGGCCTTTGGTATATTTAGGTCTGCCTCTGGGGGAAATCCTAAAATAGAAAACTTTTGGTACCCAGTTTTAGAAAGATTCACTAAGAAGCCAGCAGGGTGGAAGAGAAATTATATCTCACTAGGGGGTAGAATCACTTTAATCAAGTCAACTCTGGCCAACCTTTCGGTGTATTTTCTGTCTACCTTTAAGTTTCCTGCCAAGGTTGCCAATAAGTTAGAAAAGCTCATGAGAGATTTTCTGTGGGAATCGGGTGACTAAAAAAAGGACCATTTAGTGAAATGGGAAGTAGTTTCTAGGAAAAAGGAAACATGGGGTCCAGGCATTGGCAATATCAGATTAAGAAATATAGCTTTGTTAGGAAAGTAGTTGTGGAGATTTCCTTTGGAGCAAGACAGTTTGTGGCACTTGGTGGGTGGAAAGTATTCATGGGATGGCAGCTAATGGATGGTGTTGAGTTGGGTCTAGTTGTTTTTTATTCTTATTTTAAGCTATTTATTTAGGATGTTGTTGGGCTTTAGGCCCATTAGTTTATGTTTTTAAGTTGTGACTGTTCAGCTACATTAGTAGCCGCCCTACTAAAGGCATCCTTGTAATACCTCATCCTTTAAGTTAAGTATAAATATAATGAGGGGTTGGCGGCTAGGGTTAATTCAAGAATCCTGGTTGACTTCCTACTCTTTTCTCCCTCTCTTTTCTTCTCTACTACTAAAATCTTTATCTTCCTCCCCTTTCCTTTCACAAGAAATTCAACTAAATCTACAATTAGTGGTTTTTACTTGGTATCAGAGCCAGCCAAAGGTTCCTTGAGTTGTTTCCTCATGCAGCCCTAGATCGGCCGACTGCATGGTGATTTAAGAGGCTGATCGAAGTTCTCAGGTACGCCCAGTTTTTGGATTTTTCGGTGGATCTGTGTGCCCTGTAGCTGGTCTAGGGTTTCTCACCAAAATCAGGAAAAACTGGAGAAAGGGGAGAAGTCCTGTTTCTATTGGACTCTTCAATTTTGACCTAGGAAGTGGCGTCCTAATTTTTTAGGATTCCTTTGAGTTTTCTGTAAGGGGCGGTTCAAGTCCTACCTGATTTGGAGGCTTCTAGAGAGAGCGGCTGCCTCTTCTCTCTCTTCTCCCATCCCACAGAAAAGGAATCTTTTGTGGGAAGACAATCTAGGACACTAGAAAGGTGTTGTTGGTTCCAGAAGTGTTTCGTTTGATCTTGTTACATATTTCGGTTATTTTC